GATCTGACCTGTGCTGAACAAGAGAAGCTGCTCGAGTTATGATCTGATGCGACTTTGATGTCCGAATTGAAACAACAGTCACTGTTGGATTTCTGGATCCAAAGACAGAGTGAATACCTAGCCCTCTCATTAAAGGCTGTGAGGTTTTTTAAGCCTTTTGCTACTACCTATCTTTGTGAGAAAGGCTTCTCGGCTCTCGCAATCAAGACAAAGTACTGCAACAAACCGGATGCTGAGCCAGATCTGCGTCTGAAGCTCACTGCCCTCGTCCCTGACATTGCAGGGCTTTGCTCGACTAAACAGGTTCACCCCTCTCACTGAGATGGTAATTGCAAAAATGCTATTTTTATTATTTGTGCGCGTGCGCAAGCTCATGTTGGTCATTGAGATTTCTTGGGGTTCCTATGAGAAGATGACTTGTAGGTGGTACTTGGATGCTTTGGTTTGATCAGGGGTGGTACTTGGTCCAAAAAGTTTGAGAACCACTGCCCTAGAACATATGTGCTGTCTCTTTTCACTGTCATTCAAGGTTATAAATAGAATTTCTGTTGGACAGACACCAACCCTGTTACAGGATACTGTAGGGTAGGCCTCTTGAGTTTAGGGTTGGATGTAGCACAGGTACTGAAAGCAGAAGGAAGGCCATTGTGAATGTCTGGAACAAACAACACATATTGTTGAGGCTGGTGTATAAAGATGTTTCAAGAAACCACCAGGTCTCACTCTTCTCTCACTTCTGACCTTTCTTATTAAGTAGTGAAGATCCTGTCCAGCATCCAGAATCTTCCAGATTTCTGCTAAAATCGCTGCTTACAGGTCAAATTCCACATCATTTCTAGACTTCACAGCTAGTGGTTATTAAGATACTTATTAAGAGGGACTAAAAGACTGATGCTCACGTGGACCCAATGATGAGAAGCAGTCTACCATTATGAGTATGTTATAAAAAGTAATTAATTTGTTTCCCTTTTTTTTCTGTGATGGTACGTTAGCATATTGTGAATTTTAATACCTAGTTTAAGCTACATGTCGTTTAAAAGACTCTTCACATCGTCAACATAAGATCTGTTTGTTTTTATTTGTAGTTCCTAATCTCTTTTGACAGAGTCCAAGGCTAAAGAGTTAACATCCTCTCCCGCGGCTCAGCTGTTCAGGGTGATGTCAGATTCGGCATTTCTGGGGAAGGTGTTTGGACAAAGGAGGTGCAATGGAAGAGGCTGAATTCCTCACATCCTCTACAAGCATTACATAATGGCCCCAGCCTCAGGAAGCTCACAGGAACGGTTACGCAACATGCCCTTCGGGGTTAATAGAAGGGCTGCGATATCCTGCTGGAAAATGTTCAATGGCAATCAGGGCTGGCCGATAACTTATTGTTGGATTCCAGCGAAAGACAATTCTCCCTCCACACCAGCAGGAATGCAAACCTTTTTTTTTTTTAGATGATCTTCTTTGGCTTGTTTTGTTAAAACAATTCAGAAATTGGGAGGAAAACCTGATAAGAACAACTTCGTTGCCTCAAGTGCTTTAACTCCTTGTCAGGGGGGGGTGCTCCTTCAGCACCGAGCTCCCGTAAAGATATGGTATTATGGCTTGTTAGCCTTCGCATTTACAACCAAGAACAGAAGGCACTTCCTTACTTTACACAGAAAGTTGTGGGAGAATGGAACAAGCCATGCTGATGAAGCCTGGCTACTATCAAGAAAAAGCTTGATGAGATCCTTGGATCAGTCAATTACTAACTACCACATGAGCTAGATGGGACAAACGCCCCCCTCTCGTTAGGAGCAGGAAAATGATCTGATTCATCAGGGAAAATTATTTTTTGTTATTATTTGTGTTTCCTGTGCTGGACGGGGCACGCAGTAGAAAGTTCACAGGCACCACACTGCTCCCAGCAAGACACAGACTTTCCGCTGTTCAGCTGTCAAATTAGCTGAACTGTTTATTTGATTAATTAGACCTGTTTTATGATTTTCGGTTGTTAGAGATTTCAACTATGACATCACATACAGTAAGCACCAAATTAGCACCTTACACTAATGGCAAACATCTAATTAGGCTAATTATTCACTCAAAATAATGGTTTGATTACGTATCAGAGACCTCTAGGATAATACTGTAACAAATGAGTGAAAATCTCCCTTAGGCTGCCCAGCTGTAGGTTCACCTTTATATCAGCAAACCTGCGGTTTCGGGGTATCAGGTTTGTTTTCCAAATACTGAAGCTCCAGCTAAACAAATCATCGCTTTCATTCATTCTAGCAGCGAATACAGACCGACTGGGGACTGAAGATTTACAGCCACATTCTGCTGTCCACTATACAACCGAGGATTAGCAGATCCCTCTAATTTCCTGGCTGTGGGCTAACGAGCAGCTTGGTTTCCCCCGAGTCATGGTTGGCCAAGCCGCAGGGGCCTGACGGGAGGGCGGGCCCACGATGCCGTGCGGGTGCCGTGTGTAGCGTTACCTCGGGGCCCCGGTAGGGCCTGCCGTTGACGATCTCGGGGGAGGCGTACAGGGGACTGCCGCAGAACGTCTGCAGGAGCCGGTCCTTGTGGTACAGGTTAGAGAGTCCGAAGTCCGCGATCTGGGGGGGGAGAAAAGGCAAACGTCTCCTCCATTAATCCCGCCGCGTCCCTCTTGGAGCGGCTACCGGCTACCGTGTGCTGCAGGACCATTCGCCGGGGAAGAAACCTACACCAGCACGCGTACCTTCACATGAAAATAAAAGGGCTGAAAATCTGAAGCAGTCACAGCCCTGCTTTTCCCTTTTGTATACACTTTTGTCCCCTAGATGGCCGCTGACGTCAGGCCCTGTGTGTTGCAGGCCACAGATTTTGCCCATGGCACTCTACCGCACTTGTATTATCTGAAAGGCACGCCTGCTCTTTCTAATAAGGCAGAGCTCTGAATGCCCACAATGAAAAGGTCCGGTATTGGGTCTTTGCTCAGACACCTCCCTTCAGCTCCTTGTTCTGGGTCAAATTAAACCCTCCCTGACCCTAGGAGGTAAAAAAAAATGACCCTGCAAAAACGGCACCCTTATCACCCAGCGACTCCTTTCTGCACAGCCTCTGGCTGTCCACTCTGGTTGGCCCACACACACGCCTCCTCCCCACCCTCCCTCTTCCGTCTGCCTCCGCGCTGTCCTGTTCCTGCTCAGGAAAGGGCTGATTTACCGGCCAGTCGCTCCCTTCCTCTCCGCCCGGTCCTTATCTCTGCCATCCAGCCCTCTCCTTCCTCTCGGGAAGAGGACTGGAGGAGGCTCTTGACGTCACACCAGTGGCT